ATTGGCACCTTCAAAGCATTGCATCTATTTTTTAAGGGTTTTTTTAAAATATTTCGTTTGGCAACTAGTCCGCCGTATTATCAGATTATTACGTTATTGTTCTTAGGGCTCCCACTTGATTTATTCACTTATATTCAAATTTTATATTTAGTATTCGTACTAACTTTGACTTGAGCACACCAATCCTGCTTCCTTGCTATTTGGATGCCATTTACAAGTTGATTGTCTAAGCCAAAATTCGTATAGCCCACACCCCCTAAGGATTCCACGTGCTCTCTTATTTCTTTATTCAGGATACTTATGTATCCGAAGCGAAATTGAGACAGTATTTTTACATGTGTACTCCTCTGTAATTTTTATTTTCTATAAGAATCCTTTGGATTTATCTTATGTTAACTCTTAAATATTACTCATCATTCAGATTCTCTTGATTGCTGCCTTATGATATATTGCTTGCTGCTTCAGACCTGTCTGATAAACTCACTACTTAATAGCTATAGTTGCATCAGTTGCTATTAAGGCCTGAAATCTTCGACCTTTTTCTTAACCAACCTCTAAGAGCGTCTTCAATATGCTTGGACATTATGGAGGCTGTGACATCATTAGTTTGAATCTTATTTTTGTAAACTTCATTAAGTCATTTTCACCAAGTAACTACAGTCGGTCATACTTCATCTTTTGTCATTAGTTTTAGATCAAAATCTTTCTCATAATACTATCCTTTGGCTTTTATGACAATTTGACCAGCTTTCATCCACAGCACGTCGTTATAGAAACTAAAAAAAGGTGGACAAATTATTAGCGTCTTCTTCACCCCCATACACACCCCAAAAATAATCATTCGGCTTCACCAAAAATATCTAGGAACCAACCTCGCCATGTTGTGTGTGTGTAATTTTAAACTATTGAGTCGCACCAATAACCTTTTAAAATATTCTTTATTTTTTTCAGGACAAGAAGCGGTCCCAGTTGTGCCCGGGGACCCATGGCCTGTTTTCTCACTCATTCGTCACACTGCTCCTCACAAACTATTCTATGACCTCAACGCAGGTACATATTCTTATATTTACTTATTTTCTGTGTGTATTTTTTACGCCTTTAATTAATAAGACACAATCTGTATTAGGTAAAGGATGACAAGCAGATTTTGCAAGTTATTTGGATTTGAAAATTTTATGCTAATTTCTTAATAATTATTTTATTAGAAGGCACCATAGGACGAATTGTGCATGCTATCAACAATCATATTTCTTATATCTTTAACTATTAACTTGTTATTCAGTATGAGCAAAATTAATTTATATGTGAGGGGGCATTCTTTGTGTATGTGAAATGTGTAGTTGGGCATTTGGGCGCGTGAATATTATCCGTGAGGTATACAGTCACTTTGCCTTAATTTAAAAAGGTATCTCTTGTATGAATATTTTAATTGTGGTAGAAACTATTGAATGTGTATGAGTAGATGACAGTATTTGATTTGATTAGCCGCCATTGACTTTAATTTAATGCATTGAACATGTAAAGCATTGCACCTCAATGTGCTTTAACTTGCAGTCGACCATGGATGGGTACTTTTCGGGAAAGGCTAGATGCAGCCCAATGGCATTTTAACGCATATTCATATGATTAGGGTAAAGTTAAACAATCATCGCTGATGCTAACTAGGGTGACTGCAGCTTTTATTTAATATCTACTGATAGCACTGAAACCTTTCCATTATGGACATAGAAAATGCTGGTATAATCTTTCCAAAGTTTCACATTTCCTCAATTAAAGCAAAATGGAAACTGCTTTTTTCTACCCATTCATTATTTAGTGAACTGGTATTTAATCGTCACTCCGTAACACTATAAACTATCTGCTTGCTTGACCGTGGCATAGCTTTATAAAATAGCTTTTATTTTCAGGATCACCAGCATCTAAAGCATTTAAAATCTGGGTGGGACATAATACTTCCTATAGTTTAAAGGTAAAAAACAAAGCCTGATTTACATTAAATTCGGGGAATTGCAATTTTTCAAAGGGCACTCTTACCTCTAATTAAATTCATTTCTGTCTG